TAACGTTTTAGCACGAAACTAAGCACATCGCAAGTTGCCAGGCGTGCTTGCGCACATGTGACCGAATTTTCGCCCGCTTGCCTAAGTGCAATGCATAGAAACTCGGCACCTACGAACAGTATCGTCTTACCTCCACTTTCTAGCAATCTAACACATATGCACTACCACCGCCAAAGTTCGTGTTTAGTTGACTAGTTGTAACGTCTTCGAGCTCCGGGCGTTCGGTATTCAACTACACACAGATTGTATCAACGCTAGCTAGGTACTATATTAATTTACATTTACGTAACACAATACACAATGAGCATTGGATAATACCGACCAACCAATTTAACCTAATATGTTCAGATACAGGTATATTCATTACCTATCATGCTAATTGAAACGAGCAATCAAGCCAATGTCAAGAAGGATAATCGATTTTCTTTTACATACGACGGTAGGCAAATAACAACTTGTATATTTAGAAATAGGTAGGTACAATATGTGTATACTATGTATTTTTTATCAATCATAGATACTGGACAAATTTATCGTAAGTTCTTAGAACATCGGTTTAACCTCTTGACTGCCGGTGTATAAAACACAATAGAAAATACACTGTGTCTTTCGTGGATCTGCGTTCCGTGTTTCCACACGACGAGTTAATATTCAGTCCCACGAACTCAAAGAACGTAGCCATTCGTAGAACGGTAGAACACTAAACGTTTCAACTTTTATCGTTCCTTTAGACTTATAGGCTGAAGCATGTTCTACACAAAAACAAATACACCTATTTTCATCTAAAAATACAAAGCCATTTTCCATTTTCCAATCGAGTAGCTCAGGTCGGCGTGGTGCCTCATTTACATACATTGTTGAAACTTTTGTTCGATTGAAGTCCATCCCGCCAAAATGCGGTGGGTGCGAATTTTTAGAAGCACGCCGCCATTCTAATTGTGATTCGAGTGGTTAAAAGCTTTTCTTGGAAAAATCGTAACACGTCCGGAAAAGTAAAACTTTGATTTTAGGACTTTAGATTTTTACTAAAAGTAAAATTATCATTTTTAAAGAAGAAATTAACACCAATGATTACCTACGATGAACTAGTTACCTTAGGTACCTTTTTTGAGAGAGAAAATCATCCAATGACTGAAAACCTTCTCCCATCCGGGTGAGGCGAGTGTCAGGTCAGTGTCAGGTACTTACTGACTATAAACCACCCCGTTCCTACCCCTGCACTTCGAGCCAGGGCCCCGGCAATATTTTAAGTCCATCGCGGCCCCGTATTGGCATCAGCCCTATTGGGCCCCATCTGTGGTGATCTGATGGCTTTTTGAGGCGCGCGCGGAACGCGAACACGGAACGCCCGGGTCTGGTTCTGGCTAGTCGTGCGGTAAATTACCCATGATCGCCGTCCGTAGGCCCGTGCTTACGGTGGCCGGGAATCGTCTCGCGAGCATAGGTAGGTTCCTAGGTCAGATTTGGGCAGGTATCTGGAATTTAACTTAAGCATAGATAATGAGGAAATGAAAAACTTTAGGTAAATTTTTCATTAAGTAGGTACATAAGAAGTTGACTATGTAAACTGTGTGATAACAATGAGCTAGGTATGGGAGACCCACATTATGTTAAAATATTTTATCAAATGACATTAATATTGTTTTGCACCTCAGCTACAAATTGTTAGCCTGATGAATACCTAAATAGCAAACAACACCGACCGTAAACTAATATTAGTTACAATACAAGCGTGAAATAGGCTCGTACATCCACATTCACTGTGTATTTAGCCTACCTCCATATTGTCTAATTAATTACAAGAAGGCGAACGAACATTTGCACAGTATTCGTAATGTAATTTTCAAACATTGTTGGAAACACAGTATGGAATTATGCAGTTTACAACGAAACTCGAAATTTCTCCAGGGATCACTACCCCACCTCTAGAAAAATGGGTTCTCTGAGATAAACATGATCTGAAGAAATTAATTTAAAAATTGTTCTGTTTGATTCCCTATCCTCAGAGCTCTGTGCTATCAAGGGATTGCCGTAATTTGTCTTTACGTTACTCTACTTGGAAAATTTTACTTCTTGGATTTGTTTTAGTTGAAAACAATCATAAAAGAGTTTTCTTTTAAGTTTAACTTACAGAGATTCACAGAATTTACTCTATTACTTACATTATATTAGACACTTAAGTACGTATCTACGGCGAAAAATATATTTAGATAGGAGGTAGTCGACATTAGCCTAAACAATGAAGGTCCATTATGATATAAGACACATTACCTACTTGGTAATACTTATTACTTGGTTATAGCCAATACTTCTTAGTAACAAAATAGACATAGGTATATATTTTTAGTTCCCATTCGATTTGCATTTCAGGAGGTAAAAGTTTGAAGGCTCTCCAAATACGGCCTGGCCTTGCGAAGTATTGAGGGGTCTCTTAGCTGGCTAACACTTACAATTCAATCGCACTGTGAGAGCCATCGACTCGTGTAGGGATTGTTGTCGACACGCCCCTCACTGCCGAAACCTTTCCTCAGAGGGCGAGAGGGCAACTTAAACCAAAATGGAATGGTGTGTGGTGGTCATCTGTATGATTTGTTTAATCATTAACTTACTTACAGATCACTTACATATTTAATTTCAATCGTTTACCAAACAACATTAATTACCTGAGCAATTATTTCCCTGCCTACCTACTTAGGTACCCACAACGCGTTATATATTAGGTATATGTAGGTATATGCTTGAATTTAAGTAGGTGCTTTATAATTACCAACCTGCGTAGGTACCTACTTACATAACATAACATAACATCACGCCTTTTATCCCCGAAGGGGTAGGCAGAGGTGCACATAGAAGTAACACCCACTTTTCACTATTTATGTTATGAGTCCCATGTAATAGGGGGTGAGCCTATTGCCATATACCGGGCACATTTCCAGACTCCGTGCTACTACTGAGATTTTTAAAAACCACAGTAATACTTTGCCCGACCCGGGAATCGAACCCGAGACCCCTTGCCCGGCAGTCGCACTTGCGACTGCCGGGCCGAGGTACCTACTTTATCTGTTTAAAATTAAAGAGACAGATAAAATCTCATAAACTTGTAAACCAGATGGTTTATTAGATATATACGTATCATTGAATAAACGTCAAGATTGAAAGGATAATCAAAGAAAGTAAAAGCCATACTCAAAGCACTACGGAAGAGAATTGCTGACGCCCGCACAGCGATATTGGCACCGACACAGGTTGTCGCTGATAACGATCCTATCGATATAATCGCTTGGATGCCACTTGCCGCCAATTGACGTAATAGAACGCCCTATTAGTAGAAGGTGACACACAATGAACCTTAATGTTGTTTCCTAGGTAGATAGTGAATCTACCTACCCTCCAGCCACATTTTCTTAAGTATACTCGTTAAACTAGCGAGTCCCATGAGACCAACCTCCATGCCAGCAGAATTACTCTATCTCGATCTATATCGTCATCATGATGCCCATACACGAATGAAATTTAAACCAACACCTATTAACGTCATACAAAAAGGAAACTTCGTTGAAGTAAGTAATTCTGTATTTACCACCCTAAACTCTAGTTTAAACTTTGAACTGTGTTGTTGTTAGTTAAGTTCTTTAGTTTCGTGCACAACGAAACTTCAGAAGAACAAATATCAAATTTATTACATGCGAATAGGTGGGTAATCTCAATTAAACCAGTTCGCTTCGAAACTAAGATCGTTTAAATCGTGTATGTGTAAAGTAGTGTAGGGTATATGTACATCTACACAGCGAGTTAGGGACCACCATCACATAAACTGAAACTGTAACTGTAAACAAGTCTTAACAAAGTTTTGTGGTTAAGTTGTACGGTCTCTTAGTGTTTCGCACGATTCTATTGTTTAGTATGAATAACTATGCGGGAAGATAATGTGGCCGCCATTATTTATTGGCTATTAATGTTCCAACTTAATTCGCTTCATGACAGAATTTAATACTGTTTCAATAAACATCTATTAAGAGATGTTACGTACTTAGTACTACTTTGAAATATTGTAATAGAAAAAGTTATTCCTGTTGTGGGTTTTAATAAATTTTAGTAATGGAAGCGACACGTAATTACGACGTAATTACGACACGTATTTACTTGAAAGTCGATCATTCAAGCCTAGGCTGCATTTTATTTTGAGATGGGAACATACATACGTCACTATAGTTCTATATTTGTCTTTTGTAGGTTTAGGTAGCCCGAGTTAGGCTCTCCACAAATGGATAACTTCGAGCAAACAGACGCTTGGCGCGTGTTAGCTGGGCAAATAAAGAGCAATAACATACACATGACTTGGAAAATCAATTGTGTTCCTACACGACACCTACCTAAATGTAGGTAACACTACGTCGCCAGTCACTATCTATAATTCACGCTTCACGCTTCTTTCTGTAAGGCTAAAAATTCGTGGCAGTATTCAATCCTCGCTCAAAACCGAAACATACTTGATGCCTTTTTTTGAGGGGCTAAAACCTCCGATCACTTCTCCCGACTTGGCTGCAGCGAGCAGTGTCAGACTTTAATGACTAAAAACCACCCCGTTCCTATACTTCTGCACTTCGAGCCGGGGGCCCCGGCAACCCGTTAAGTCCTCTGCGGCTCCGTATCATATACTCGTCGACTAGACTATCGAAATATAATATTACCATATTATATATCTTAGGCAAAAGTATGTAGTGGGCAGACAAGCTCCCATTAAAAATAATTGTCAACTTAATAAAATAAAAAGGTGATTTTATTAAACAAATGTATATTTCATTAACACTTAGTAGGTAATAAAAATGATACCTAAAGGTGAGACCACATTTGACGAATGTGCCGCTCGCGAGAATCTCACGCACGCGCATTTTTAATAATATTCACGCGATCCCCTTGCAAACATTCGTCAAATACGAACGCACCATAACATAACTATACAATTATAATAATCATCATTTAAAAACATTAAACAATACTTATGCTACAGATTCACTTCTATTTTTTACTTTTAATTGTAGGTCTATGACAACAGTTTTTTTAAATAAATCTACTAAGTCACTTCTAACATGTGATTTGATTTGTTGTAGTCTACCACCACCAGCTCCAGCTATTAACCTTAATAATCTCTCATTGGGGCACTCCACTACTAACGCACAGAGTATTTTATCTTGTTCTTCTATCTCTTCATAATATTCAAGTTGGACATTCAGTTTGTATGGGATCTCTTGTGCCAAAAAGTCTAAGAACTTAGCTCTAACTGCTTCTGTTATCAGAGTCTCTGGTGTCTGGTCTGTCCATTCTGAAACTGCAAACTGATGGCCAGCTGTCTTTGCATTGCTGACGAGATAGTTCTGAAAAGATTAAGAACATTCATTAATCAATCATGTTACCTGTTTACAATGTCTCCTTTGACAATTAAGTAAAAAATGTTATGTTATGTATAGTGATATCTGTTGGCTATAATTTTTTTGTGGTTAGCATGTTTGCCATGCCTGTAGGGTATTCCCTACAGGCGTATTTGTAATAATATAAAATTGTATCTTTTAGGTATTTAAAATAGACATGTTACATAATGTAATTTCCGGTTCCAATATTATTTACAATACAATCCTTTTCATTTTTATTTAGAACTAGTTTCTGCTAATAGATTTGTCCATGTTCCCATGGGACAAAAAGTTACCCATGTGTTATTTTAGACCATAATCTGCCCCTATTCCAAAATTGTATGACGATTCCTTCAGCCATTTTTGTGTGAAAGTGTAACAAACACACACACATACATCCTCACAAAGTCACTTACAATATTAGAAGGATTTATAACCGATTATTAAAAATATTTATACCTTTATATCCTGTATTCCATCACCATTTAGAGCTGATATAAGAAAGACATCTGAGAATTTACTGTATCCTTTTTCTAATTTTTTTTCACTGTTTCTTTTCCTTTTTTCTGATCCAGGGATAGGATTGCCAGCAATCATACCATTGGTGAGACTTTTTATTACTGCCAGTAGTTGATTTTTAGATTTCAATTTATCAATCTGTGAAAAATTAGTAATACACCGTTACCACCAGAAAAAGTATACCACTTTTTTAGCGACCACTCTCCACGAACTCCATTATAGACCTTATTTCTGATGTTTAGAGACTACTTTTGTATGAACAAACTTTGGGTATGATATATCAACATATTAGGTCAAAAAGCTGTCATTAGTAAATCATATACTTACTTTGTTAATGATTAAAAAGCTTGGTGTATCCTCTATAACATTCAGCATATTGATGACATCAGAGTGTAAAACATCTTTTGTATATCTATTAGAAACATCATGAACCACACCAACAACATCAGCACACCTCAAACTTTTGTGGCATGCTCCCATCATAGAGTCCGGCAAATTATATCTGAAATTGTTAAAAAAAATAGAAATATGAAAATATTCATAAAAAATAAAGCATTTAAGAATTAGGCCAAAGTTTTAAATGTTTGTTATCTAATGGATGCTACCAATAAGATTACCAAAAATGTTAAATTGTAATAAAACTCACTTCTTCTTTTCTTTTTCAGTAACAACTCCAGGAGTGTCTAAAAATATAATCTGTGTGTCATTCTCATAGCACATCGCTCGTACTAATTTAGTCGTCGTGTGCACTTTGTTGGAAGCTGCACATATCTGGAATCGAGAATAGCATACACATATAAAAAATGTTTACTGAAGAACACCGACAATTTTTAGGTTATGTATATAAAGTGAGTATTCTCTAACCTTCCTTTCCGTAACTTTATTTATGAGGGTGCTCTTTCCCGAATTTGGCGCCCCAATAATAGCTACATTTACAACTTTTCCTAAATTTCTTTCATTAGCACATTCTGGCTGTGATGAATAAAAGACTGCTTTGAAGTTCTGTTTTCTGTATGTCACACGGAAAGCACGTAATATAAATGTTGACATCTTCTATTAGTCTTAATATTACAGTACAACTATTCAATCAACTTATTATTTTTTTCGAAAAAGCAATCTTATTTGTTTACTTTACGAAACTAAAGCAATGCATTTTATGACACATGACATATGACTTTTATACTTGCTTGACTGACAGACTGACGTATTGACCATTGATCCATAGACAACAATCATGAAACCATGAAACCATATTGTATTCCTACTCTATTACTCTAGAAGTCTATGACTTTAGCAAACCAAAACAAAAAAAACCAGCAAGCAAAAGCAATCAAAAGGTCAGCAGCAAGGCAAGTGGCAAGTGGTTTTCAAAATTGTGTTACCGACCCCGTGTTAATATTTTGTTTTCTTGCTAACTAGCTTTCTTTGGAAAAGCTTAAGGTTAATTTAACAGTACTACTGTTTAAGTGAGTTTCTTAGTTTAATGTAAAATTTTATTGTACCTATTATTTCATTAGTGTCTAATGATAAGAGAGTAAATACCACACGAAAATATAGGTGTGCGAAAATTGTAAATGAATGTGTAGTTCTATCTCCATTTCAACAATAAAACATTATCTAAACCTGGCGGATTCTAAAAGGAGTGCATGATTAGTTAAAAAATCGCCGGCATGATTTTTAATCAGGTAAGTACTTCATTCTACTTGTATTGTAGAATACTATATTAATTTTATGTTCCTTGTGTTATTAATTAATTATACACGAACTATTTTTATTATTTATTCTCATTAATGCCACCATATTGTTTATTTTTGCTTTTGTTAATTCCTTTCCTTTCACTGTTTACCCAACCTCCTCAATTATTTATTTTGTTTTGTTTTTTTATTTTCCAGAAATGTCAGAGATAAAGTATAAAAATCAAATTTTGGCTGCTATAGATCATTTACGCTCACGTAAATCGCGTCCTGATATACATAGGATTTGCAAGTTTATGTTAAAGTGTTATAAAGTACTACCTAAAGATACTAAAGCAGATCTCAAACGTTGCCTGAAGGAGAAAAGTATTTTCAAAGTTGATTATAAAGATAATGTAAGCTATAGAAACGCTGCTAAGTGGCGAAAAAAATCAAACAGTGAGTTTATTAAATTGTGTGAATCTATTCAGCTTATAAAAGAGTCTCATGTCTATGAGATAAACATGTCCCAAGAAGTGACCAGTCACTTCTGACCATGCTCAGAATCTCTTATCGTTAAAAATTCCAGTACATCTAAAATGAATTCTGTTTTTTAGAAATGTCTTCATCAATTGCAACCAGTGAACGGCGGGTCATAACTTCAGCAATTGCTACATTGATTTACCAAGATCAAAGCTATTTGGAAAATGGAATTGCCTTTGATGATCTTGTGTCTGCAGCTGCTGCACAAGGATCAAAATATTCAAAAAAACAACTTGAGGCTATTGTCAACAAAGAGTTATCATCGGGAAGTTTGGTCAAATTACAAAATGGCAACTTGGCTTTAGGTCCTGCAGACCATGATGGTGATAGCTCAGACAGCTTCAAATTTGAACAGTATCATGCAGATTTTAGCAATACAAAGGTAACTTAAAAAATTACACATTTCCACTACGATTTTCCATAAATATTTAAGGATTAACAATTTTATTTATGTGGGGCTTTTGGCCACAAAAAAGTCTAAGGACATGATTTGTGACAAAATAAGATTAAAGTTGTTAATTATATTTCATTCTAATGTAATAATAAGGAACTAAGTATTAAAATAATTCCAATAAGGATAAATTCCAAGAAAAATAAAGTTACATAAATAGGGTATGAAACCTACCTACACAAAAAAAAAGTAAAAACAAAGTGACATTTCTGAGTAATCATTGTTTTTCAAACAGTATAAAAAATTTGGGTTATTATCATTTTTACCTTCATTTCCAGATGACTTCATCTGCCAATTCATCATGTAGATCTTCACCTCAAAGAATGCGTGGAAGGCCAAAGAAACGAGGTGGTGGATCATCTAGTAATGGACTCAGTGGTGGTAGTACATCACGTAATGCTGCTGTGCGCGTCGGCGAAAGACGTAAAATGGCTAAGAAAGTTTTTGATCCATCTGATAATAATGTACCAAGCAAACGAAAAAGAGGCAGGCCAGTGGGATCATTAAATAAAAGTACAATTAAGAAAAGACTTATTTCTGCTGGACTTCAGAAATCTGATGCAGATGGAACACCATTATCTGAAAGTCAACTATCCTTAGATGGAAGTGGTGATGAATTGGAACAAGAAGAGCCCCTAGCTCATGAGACATCTGGAGGAGTATGTTCAGTATGTTTGGTGCAGAAACCTCGTGGTTCAAATGATAGACTAGTTGAATGCAGAGATTGTAATAATAAGGCTCACTTAACTTGCCTTCAATCAGGATCAGGCATTTTAAAACCTCGCCCAGATAACACTTGGCAATGCCCTCATTGCAAAACTTGTGTAGTATGCTGCGAAACTAATGATGCTGTAAGTAGTGTAATACTTTATAAATTTTTTTTATAATTATGTAAAGAGTGAGTTATTTGCATTGTATATTACAGAATAAAATGTTTACCATGTTTGTTTTCAGGGTATTTTAACTGTATGCAGTATTTGTTCTGATGCCTACCATGCACTTTGTCACAGTCCTCGAATACCAGAAAGACTAAAGGCTTGGGATCAATGGGAGTGCAATAATTGTCTTGAATCTCGGCCTACAGTTGTAGGATCACCAGCAATTCGAGGTAGTATGGAATATGCTGCACAAAATTCGCCTTCTGTGGACCCTTTCCTCAAGCCACATGAACTTGATAGAGCTCCTTCAAAACTTGTGGAGGAGATTCCAATGGACCCAAGTATTCCAGATATATCGAATTGGAATACTGATGATGTTTTTGATTATTTCAAACAGCATTTACCTGAAGCTGCTCCGATTCTTAAAGAACAGGTATAGAAAACAGCTAACTACAGTATATTATTACTTTACTTAAAATTTAGCAAATTGTAAATCATTTGTATATTTGATTTCCAGGAATTTGATGGTCAAGCATTGAGTATGGCGCGGCGTGCAGATATAGTACGAGGCCTGGGATTACCTTTAGGCCCTGCATTGGCCTTATATCGCATTATCGTTAAATTACAAACAAGAAAAGACGACTGGACAATGTGTTGGGGTTAAAAACCCATGTTTTTACAACTGCTTATGCAGATGCAGATAATAGTTTATCAATTAATGTACCTAGTTATCTGAAATATATTTAAGTCTTACACATAACTTGTTTTCTACTTTTCTTTTTTAGTAATTGGTAATACCATTAATAATTTCTGGAATCACAATATAATTTCTTATCAGTGGCACTTGAATATATGACCTAGAATTTGAATGATGCATTATTATAGTAATTTAGTCTATTCTGGAATTCTTAGATATGAAACATTCAATTAATGTGCCAAGTGCCCACATGCAATAGACACCTAAGTTGCAGTTTTTCAAAAAGTCTATTGAATAACATTGTTGAATATTTTCCTAACTACATAATATTTTTATGATAATTCACTAAAACTTAATCCCTGTAGGTATGGGGGTTTACCCTAGATAGAGTTTTTAACAATTATTAGATTAGTAAAAGGTGTAATTTACATATATTTCCCTTTGATATTTCATTACCTTAAATTCTGTTACTTACTACTTCATACTTTCTTTACTATAATTTAGCACCTACCCAATGGTCGACTGTCAGAGAATGCCTACGGCATTAAGTCCGCCAATTTCACAGTGTTGTGTGCAATAGTTTGATAAATAAAATAATTTAATATTCAAATAACCATCAATATTTTATTATTTAGGTAGTAGTAATATTTTACACTTCAGTGTTGTTAGCAACAAATGCTCTTGACATAATTTTATCAGAGATCATGACCAGCATTTTTGTTTAATTATCACCATCACTGTTAGTCTTTATTATCAGTGAGATAGTCATCACTTACATAACAGATATGATTGTATGGAGTAAAAATATTAGTTTGGGAACAATTAATAACTATGAACAAATTTAAGTCATGAGGGTTTTTCAAACTAGATAAATAAAACTAGTTTTTTATTAAATTTTTGTATACTTAAAAGTATAACATATTTGTAAAACTTGGTTGCCACTTACCAGCATGAAATATCGGAAATATTAACAATGCAAGTTTGTGCACAATGTTAACATATGAATGCCTGGTATGTCTTATACAATATTGAAATAAATTAAATTGGTAACTATTTTATTATCACATGAGCATTGTACTAGCTTTAATTATTTACTAAACTCGGGACACAATTTCAACAACTTTAAAATTAAATATTATTATTATTCATAAACATTTTGATCTAGGACATCCCAAGCTCACAGTTCTATAAATCTAGCTATGAATTATACAATACTCAAAATAAATATTTTTATAAAAAATATTTACAAAATAAATTATTGTAAAACAAAAAATAACCATTAACTATTATCAATGAGTTTTTTGGTCATAATGTTTCATGAATGATAAGAAAATGTTAAATATCATTGTTGCTACATTTATGTATACAACCCTGTAATGTGTAGGTAAAAAATAAAAATTAATAAATTGAACTGGCGGCCAGTACATGCAATCACCCTGAAACAAAAATAAATTACATCTTGATAAAAGAAAACCAACAAATAGAAAAGTCATAAACTAAACAGTGGGGTAAAAATAAACATACCATATAAGCATATAATAATTTCTTTTTAATCTCTGCTGTGCTTTCCCCAAGACTTTTCTGTTCTAGAAATCCCATTCCGTAGAAGAAAGTAATTAGTGTTACTGGTGACGCAAATGCTTGATCACATCCTATTTTTAAAAATACTGTTTTTATATTAACCTTAGGTAACCATCTGTCTAAATAATCATAATAAAAGTGGTGTAAAGGGCCCATCGCTGTTCCCACTGTGAACATACGAGCTGAAACAAATTGTACATTGTTAATTAGTTACGTAAAATATTACAGGGTTATTAGAAATGTTTAAACAGCATCTACATATTTAAAATATCTTTTATTACTATAATTTCTAATATAGCACAATCATTCTCAGAAGAACCTTAGTGTACCTGCTCTTGCCCAGTCATATCTTTGAGGTAATACTTTGGTTTGAAATTCAAATTCTTGTTGCACCAAATCCCCAAGAGCCATACAAACTCCAGACGTTAAACTGTTTGTTAAAAATAGGTTTTTCTTAAAAAAGAATGTCACGCCTCTGTGAAACATAGATTCCTTACGCATTTGGAATTTAAACGGACTATTTTGTTTTATTCCAGTTCTGAAACAACGAATGGCAAACATTCTTACGACCTGTAAAACAATAATTATTATTTAAGATTTTATTAATTACCTAATACTGCATTTAAAGATAAAATAAATAATAGTTTACCTTTTTATACGTAGGTACCAATAAACAAAAGCAATTTATTGTAGTGCTATGTGGCTATAAATTCTCATTACGAATTAAATAACTTCTATCCAGTAATCCCAATGCTTATGTATGAAAATACATTGAATTAAAAGTTGCGCCTTCGTTTTAGCACTTACCTCGAGAAAATTGTGACTTTGAATGACATGACTAACATGACATTTGACGCAGTGATTGACAGTGACATTGCACGTATATATAATCAGATTTTAATTAAGCTTTAAGAAGCCCGCATTTCCGAAAGTCTACTCTAACAAGCAACACTGGAACAAAGTAATAGGACTCAGTTACCAAACCACATCCGTTTGCCTTATTTCTTAAAAGGTCAACTCCGACAGGAATTTAGTTGATGTCACAAAATTATTGCTGAAATTACAATGATGTGTTGTCACTTTCTGCTTACTTAAATCTCTTATGTAAAAAAGAAACAACAGTATGTTCATTCATTCACCGTCGAGATAAGAGATGGGCGATTTTTCGGATATATAATCAAAATGGATAAATACTGAGTAAATACTGGTGTATTTGTCTATTTTTTGCACAAACTCTCGAGTAAAAATGAAATCAAATACGCAGTATTTACCCTGCAAATAATCATTTTTAATATTTATTCCAAAAATAGTTCCATCTATCGACTTTAGAGATATTATTTAGTTTTATCCATAGACAGTACATAATTTGAAAACAAAATTATATAGATTCAACTAGAACTCAAACTCGTCTTTATTTGTAAAAAATCAATCAATGGTAAAGTAAGACATTTTAATAAAAGCCGATTTACACAGGTTAGGTATTAATCTCTCGTTCATCACTAGCCAATCCAATTAGTCAATTTGTGCGGGCGCGGAGAACCTAACGGGTTATCGGCACCGGGGCTCCGGCTCAAAGCGCAGGAGAAGGAACGGGGTGGTTTTTAGTCAATAAGCTGACACTATCTGGAGTGGAGTAAAAAGAGTATAATATGTACTGAACTAAAATATTCTTGTGAAAAGGAGAACGGCAGATTTCGTTCCGTTTCGCTAAAAAAAGATTTGACATTAAAAAATTGGGTCATTATAGAACCTCCTAAGTACGTTATGTTAGCATATTTAATAGATTTTTAGAACTTGGGAAACCCTAGAAAAACTGATATTCAATAATGATAAAAAGCAATCCACTAAGCGTAAAACGAACCGCGATTGACGTTTACAAAGTTGTCATGCGTAAAGATGAAATCAGAGCATATTGAATTTCGCTATTTCATAAACTCATTTATTTTAATATCTATCAATGAAATATTTTCCTTTCCATTTCAAACATTTTTATAAGTAAATATAAAAATCTACATCCAATCTAAATCTACGTCTACATGGATTATTAATGATAATATTAACATTTTAACAAACTTGAATATGGCAATGTTGAACTGGCATTTGTCTTGATGACATTGACAATTAATTTGTCAAATGTCAATACTGGCGCATTGCTGTTTGTTTCAAATGCGATGTTATGATGTGTTTGTTGAATTTGAAGTTATTTTATTCATCTGGTGATACGATGAGTTTGGCAACCGTTCCTCTGTAGCCCAAATTGGTGTTATTGGCATCATTGTTGTGACAATTGCGAAAAGACACTTATTTACATTATTTTGTGCATAGTGTGTTGTAATTTGTCGCGATGATGAATTTACAGTGCTTGCATCAGAGTTTGTCGCACATGAGACGGCATGCTCTAGGAAATGAGAGTGAAGATTAGACGTGGTCAACAATATCCCATTGTGGACTTATCCTAGAGATGTAAGTACCTAGTTTACCCATAACATATCGAAAGTCACCATGTTGCCTGAATAAAAGAAGGCGCATAGTGTTATCTACCCATAATGTATCATTTTATTCTTTTTATTCTAGATCTCTCCTACCGACCGTATTTGCAATGCTTGCTGGCAATTAGCAATGTATCGGGATGTTGCTGAAAGTATATCCAGCAAACAAATTGGTCACTGGCATGTTTGTGTCGTATATGGGTGATTCATTGCAATGATAAGGTACGCAGGGTTTTAATTGAAGGTGCCAACAAACAGGAGTAAAGACTGGCTCACATAGTATTTGATTGGATTCAGCCACAAGAGGTAATAAAGCATAATTTAACCATACTATTATCTATATACAGTGTAATCTAAAGTCAATATCATATTCTAATAATATTACTTATTTTAGCTTACTTCCCATGATGAAGATCATGTTCCATACTGACTGAGAGACCGTACAAGAGTCGAAACTATAAAACCACAACCTGACATACCACCTCACAGTGTTCACTATCAGGAAGTAATGTGTTATGTAAACATGGACTAAGCCTCACTTTAACATTGCCATTTGTAGAACAGATGAGGCCGGAAGATGTTGTTCGGCTCTCAAAGCTTCAACAGGTATGCATTCTCACTATAATGTACCTACATAATTATGTATCTATGTGGAGTATATAAGCGTTTCTAATAGGTTTATACTCATGTTATAATTATAATTTATTAATTAGCATGCTGTTTGAGCTCCTATGATCTGTGTTATACGAATAACTATAATAAATGTTATAAAATCAAGTAATGTAATCAAATATTTATTTTTATCTTTTCCATTTTAAGATAGGGAATCAGAAACATATTATTATAACATATAAAACTAAAGGAAAAAAAATACTTTTGTTTACTTTATTTACAGTTATCTTACTTGTTTACAGATATCAGCAATTGATGTCTGCTGTACCTATGACACGGCCTGTTCTCTTTTTAGATGAAGTACTCCTAGAAACAACCTGAATACAATGAAATAAAAGTATTTCAAAATAATATGTTTGTTTTATTTTAACCTAGTAAGTAACTATATATAATATTCCATCTTGATAAAAGTGATTTTAAGAATTAATCTATAAAATAAATGCCATATTTAATTTAGATAGCTTTAGTTTTATACCAAAAATGTTCATTTTCATTTTACATTTTCTTTAATTGTAATGTGGTGGCCCAGAGGTTTAAGAAGCCCGCTTCTCATGCATGAGAGTGCGGGTTCGAAACCTACCAACGGCAAAGTACCAATGTGTCTTTTTTCCGAGTTATTCGTATATTCAATAATCTAAGAAAGTACAAAGACACCGCTGACGAATGGTGAAGGAAACATGGGCTTATAATTTCTTATTATAAGTTTGAATTACCAACCCACATTGAGCTAGTATGGTGATTAATGCTCAAACCTCCATGCGAGAAGAGGCTTCGGTCAGCAGTGGCCACTTATAGACTTAATGATGAAAATGTTGATGATTCTACTAATTTGACTTACTTATTAGAAATTAATCCTTACACGCGTGCTAAGCAACCAGTTTTCAGAAGAAATACTTTCTCAAAGAGCTAAGCTAAGTTTAAATCGAATTAACTTGAGACCTTTGAGACTATCTACCTGCAAGATTCAAGGTGAAGTGAGACTAGTTTTATCATATCCGCCACAAGACTTCCACTGCTAAATGTAGGCCTTCTACCCAATGACAGTCACTTACATTATGAATTTGCATTTTTGTAGGCACCTAAGAAATAAAAAGGTTGTAAGGCATACTCTTTAAAACTCTATAGGAACATCGTGCTTGCTGAATTAACAGGATCATTCCTAATAATACAAAGTGTAATAGTCACTTGAGTAGCGAGCAGTATTTTTAGATTTTTGTTTTTTGTAAATAAACAACCACATGAGAGTACATTGACATTTTTCAGTTAACTGTCATCTGTCATTTGTAATAGATATTTTGCTTACGGTGGCTCTACACTTGACGTTGCGTATTTGTTGTGTTCGGCCAAAAAAGAACATGTTTGGAGGATATATTCTTCTTTGTTTGCTATATATTTGCACGCCATTACATATAGAGATACTATTTGGACGCCATTTGTACGTAGTCTACAAATATTTGGACAAATGTAGCGACTACGCAATGTCAAGTGTGGTACCACCTTAACGTACCTTTTGCACATTTTCAAAGTGAAATAACTTTTGAACCCCAAGTTCTAAAAATATGTAATTTTTTTCTAAACTTCATAATAAAAATATCTATCGTTCAGACTATTCACTTGGTTAAAACAATGACTAATACAAAATTTTATAGCGATACAAAACTTCCATACAAACCTGCCATTCTCCTTTCAAGTCAGCGGCAGCGCTAATTTGTCACTGTACTAACTTCAAATCAATTTAGTATTTACATTGTTTTTGTTCGTGAAACGGAACGTTGCATAGAATAATGTCAAAATTTGACATTTTGTTGACAACCAACTGACTGATAGTGCCATTTTCATTCATTACAGAGACCCAAAGAGTATAATAAGTATAGGGGTACAGAGACCACAAAAGGAAAAATAAAAACACCACCTTCATGTTGGGATTGAAAACAATTAATTAAGTATAAAATGGCTCTTCAAAGTGATCATTTAGATTTTTCTGGTCTATTTAAATTAGATGTATTGATACATCTAGATATTACTACTTACAGTTTTTATGAAGTGGGTCATAAAAAGTTTTTTGCCTTTACCAGTGATAAAGAATTGGTGTTCATGTATATTAATCCTCAATTAGAAAGATTTGAAAAGAATTATGACTGGGATTTCTTCGACAATCCAATTTACTGTATGTGTTTTGAACCAAGTGGTACATGGGTGATAATTGTTAGTGAACAAAAGGTTCTACTGGTGCCATATCTTCCTCTTTTTATTCCTCAAAACACTTTTGACTATAAATGGTCACTATCAAGAGTTACCGTTTTGCCACTGGGAAATATATCAAAGCCAACGTCACTGGTGTGTTGGTTGACTAAGGAGTCTGAAACTGTATTGATTATTGGATCAAAGGTATTAATTTTCTCTTGCATATTTATTTATACTCTATCGTTGAGTGTTTATGTACGAAATGGATTAAGCTACAGCGTTCTTTAATTTATTCCTTTTTGTTTCACAGACGGGCACAGTAACATTTTATTCTCTAGATTCGCAAACTATTGTAGGAGAGTGCAAAGTGCCAGGAGAAATAACAGACTTGCAGATATGTTTTGATGATTCTTTGGATTTGTTAACACTCTTGGTAAGCATAATGATTAATATTTACAACTAATACTAAAAAAAATGTTTTTCAGAGAAAAAATAAATTCAATTTTTAATTAATCTTAGTTTGTTTGCTTGCCTTTATTATTATCATTATATAACCTTCAAATTAATTGAGTTATTAAAAAATTAAAAATATTTACAACAATTCTTTTGCTTTATGCATTATACCTATACATAACTGAATAAAAAACTCACAAATGATAAGATAAATAAACAAATAAAATCAAAAACAACATTCCAATTTTTGCAGATATCTATTAGTTCAGCACAACAGTGTAAGTTGGTGTTGGAGCACCGGTCTTTTGGCTACAACTGGCTGCAACAAACTCGGGCACAGAATGATAAAGATAAAAGAGACAGCTTCATGTCTTACATCAAGCAGTTGTCCAAGGATAAAATAACTTTCTTTATACAGGGTGGTTCCAAAGGTATGAAAGATCTTATTGCTTCGATTGCATAGTACAGGGCCGGATTTACGGGGGGGCAACCAGGGCGAAAGCCCCGGGGCCTCCACAAGCAGGGGGCCTCCACAATAGACTTCGGAAAAAAAATCTTTCAAATTTCAACTAGTAAACCTAGTAAACATCTTTTCTTTCATACTTTTTTTTTCGCTTTTACCTTTACCTACAGCCTAAAGTACTTTATACATACATGATTATTTGATTATATTAATTTTAAATATTAACAGAAACAGAAATCATTGATCTATATTTGTTCACTCCAATTAGGCAATCAGTGAAATATCAAAATCTCAAATGGCTCTGATAAGCACTTCCAATTTACTACCCATCTTGAGGGAGTACCCCAATGGCTCAATGGCTCAGTGGGATGGTACTTGCCCGCAACCTCGGAGGTTGGCTATTCGATTCCGTGTCTCGACCATTAAAAAAATTAATTGCAGTATGTGAACAATTGGTATTCTTCAATTCGAAATCTATCGAGGGTCCTCGAAATCTATCGAGGGTCCTCGATCGTTTTCGAGCGTCCTCGAAATCAATCGAGCGTCCTCGAAATCTATCGAGAGTTCTCGATCGTTTTCGAGCGTCCTCGATCGTTTTCGAGCGTCCTCGAAATCTATCGGGCGTCCTCGAAATCTATCGAGCGTCCTCGATTGTTTTCGAGCGTCCTCGATTGTTTTCGAGCGTCCTCGATTGTTTTCGAGCGTCCTCGAAATCTATCGAGAGTCCTCGATCGTTTTCGAGCGTCCTCGAAATCTATCGGGCGTCCTCGAAATCTATCGAGCGTCCTCGATTGTTTTCGAGCGTCCTCGATCGTTGTCGAGCGTCCTCGATCGTTTTCGAGCGTCCTCGATTGTTTTCGAGCGTCCTCGAAATCTATCGAGAGTCCTCGATCGTTTTCGAGCGTCCTCGAAATCAATCGAGCGTCCTCGAAATCTATCGAGAGTTTTCGATCGTTTTCGAGCGTCCTCGATCGTTTTCGAGCGTCCTCGAAATCAATCGAGAGTCCTCGATCGTTTTCGAGCGTCCTCGAAATCTATCGGGCGTCCTCGAAATCAATCGAGCGTCCTCGAAATCTATCGAGAGTTCTCGATCGTTTTCGAGCGTCCTCGATAGTTTTCGAGCGTCCTCGAAATCTATAGAGTCCTCAATCGTTTTTGAGCGTCCTCGAAATCTATCGGGCGTCCTCGATCGTTTTCGAGCGTCCTCGATTGTTTTCGAGCGTCCTCGAAATCTATCGAGAGTCCTCGAAATCTATCGAGCGTCCTCGAAATCTATCGAGCGTCCTCGAAATCAATCGAGCGTCCTTGATCGTTTTCGAGCGTCCTCGAAATCAAGCGAGTGTTCTCGATCTCAATCTGGAAAATAATTTGGGGCAAGGGGGCCATCACTCCTTTGTTGCCCCGAGGCCTCTGGACCCCTAAATCCGGTCCTGGCATAGTATATAGAGATGAATTTTCTTCTTGTCTTCAAATTTTGATTATTTTATACCAATATAATATATACATATGTTCAATATGACTTCATTATAATATTAACTTTACTATAAAATTTACAGATGATAATAAGTCACAAACAGTGGAATATGTGTTGAAGCCAACAGAGTATTTGCCTCTATTTCGTAAAGGGTCCAACAACTGGGCATTAACAGCACAATATGTAAATGGTAGACATTTCTTGACAGCCTTCGAGTTAACTGAAGGAACACTAATTGTAAGTAAATTTAACTATTTAAGTAAAATATGTTATATAAACAACTAACTTGAATGTAATTCTATTGTTTTATTTTTGTGTGTGTGTTTATGTTTTCGTAATGTGAATTTGCTTATCTCTTTTTTTGTACCTATATTAAATTCAGACACAATGTAAATTGTTAAATGAATAAATAAATGAAATGAAATAAATGAAATGAAACTAAAAGTCATTAGAATACTACCAGTATTTGTATCTATCTCTTACATGAAGAAGTTTAGGAAAATAATTGAATTTATTTCTGCAAGCGAATGATGAGGCCGATATCCTAACTGACTATTTTGAGATAGTTCATATAAAAAGGTCCGTCTCTTTTAAAGAGGTCCATCTCTTAAAGAGTCCCAATTCAATTAAAGAAGTCAGTCTCTTTTAAAAAATATGTTAATATAATAAGATTGAATACATAATGCATTATGAATAATGCATTTAATATCAATGTAAAATGATTCTGCTGACATGCATTGATTCTGCTGACAGGTACGTTATTTTAAATAAGTATGGTGGTTTTCGAGGACAAACAAAGACACATTTATATTGACTTGTATTTTATTGCTATGTTGAATTTTGTAATCAATGACTTATAACCAATCAACTTATGTCCAATATTTTCTTTCCAGTTAGAAAGTCCAGAAGAAGATACCCCTTCAAGAACTCTAAGGCCTCATATTAAAAAGGATGGTTTATACATACAGGGTCTATGGTCACAGAGGATAATATACCTAGTGAGAAAGAAAGAAATAGAAGTGCACTCAGCTAGTTTTTCTGTTATTCAGGTAAACAAAAACATGACGTCATAATTATGTTCTTTTATTAGAATGTCTGTCTTGACCCCTAACAAAGCTTTATGATAGTTATATTTTATTTATTCTAATATTGACACATGTGGCATGTATGTAACAATAATATATTGTTGGTACAATAATAATGATGCATTATTTCTATTTCAGTAAAAATTTAACCTTATTGTATTCAGCATAAGGTATAATATTGCAACAGCCAATAGCATTGTCTTACTAAGTGTGTTTACTAGACATAACATCATTAAACCCGATGTTGCAAATAATTATGTACTACAGAGGTTAATTTTCCATACACTACAATCATTTTTCATCTGTTACATTAATTAATATTATGTACAACAAGGATCATTAGACCTGAAATCTCTTGCTAGAAATCTGTTAGGTACCAAATTATACTTGCAGGGTGAAGCTCTATTGGGTGCTAAAAGGGACACTTCAGAACTCTGGCGAGCGGAATTAATCGGTGATGTGAAACGAGCACACTTGATGTCAGCTCGCGAGCCTCCCGCCATGTCCGGCGGATGGCGGGAGCCGACCTTTATGTGTGACTTGCAATTGCCACGGTTCAGTCTCGAGTCTTGTCTTATAGTCACCAATAAAGGAGTCTACATTTTGAATACAGTGTGAGTTATTATTGTTGTCGTCTAATGGGAATCATTTTTACTAATAACTTTATCAACAGTCTGTTATTATTGTCATAACTTTCTGCATAATTCAACGTTGATCACAACTTTCTCTTGCTTTAAGCTGAATAATATCAACCTTAAGTTATAAAACATTAAAATTCTGTGCCGATAACCAAGAAATAATCATACGATTTTAAAATGCCTTAAAATTCATTAAAGGTTCGTGATTGTTCTTCTACCAATAATCAGAGAAAGATGTCGATCTTGATTTTTTGTAACAGAGAATTACTTTAGCATCCCTTAAACTTTTCTTTATCAGGGATGTAAGCTATGGAAACTAACTACATTATTCTAATTAATTTTCAGGAGTGAAGCCTGCGAATGGTTAGTCGGTGTGATAATGCGCGGCGGTGTGGGCGCAGAACAATCTTGCGCCGCACTAGGGGCGCCCTTACCCGCATTGCTACGTGCCGCCGCGGACATGCTACTGTCTCGAGGAAAGATGCAGCCTGCTTTGTACCTGTATTCATTGTCACAAGTAAATAAGACTTTATTTTATAGGCTGTATGAGCTAATTTACTTTGTCACTAGGTGTGAGAATTTATCATGTTTTAATTTTGTTTGTATGGTAAAAGATATTGTATTATCTAAGCAATAAGAGTTCCAAGTTCTTTTAATACGTCACATAATAATGAGTTATGCTGACTGATACACCTGTGTTCCTTTTCAGAGTCAGCCAGACGGATGGGTTGCTCGTCTTGGAGTATTCGGTAGACTTAACGAGTTAGCAGTTTACAAACAGACTGGCAATATAGGTAGTCTTGGCGACGCTGCTATAACTGTCAAACTTTTAGCTTCACTGCTAAACATGACTGTTGATAACCAGGATAACTTTGATACGTAAGTTCTTAATTTGAATATCATATTTTTTTTCTGGTATTGGAAAGTAATCTTTATACCTTATTGTTAAAGTTTAAATTTGACCTGATTAAATTAATTTTGTTTTCTATATTTTAGTGACGTCAAGTTAACAGCATTGAGTCCAATAGAATTACTAGAGCTATCGTCTTTCGCTGCCTCAGTGGGACTTTGGGACATGCTACCAATGTTCAGTATTCATCGCGGGTATCCAAACTTGTTACTATCGGCCTTAAAGTCCCGGAGTGATATCTGTCGTGGTGCCATCAACTGCCTATTGGGACAACGGTGCTTGGTACCTTTATTGCTAGAAGAAAATGGACAATGGCTCTTTGACTACATCGTTGAAAACTGTAAAAAGTTCGATACTACTATTTTGAAGGTAATTGTATGGCCCTGGTGTTTTATTTTAGACCTGGTGTTTTATTATATTACAATAAAGTTGTAAATATGAATTTTTGACTATTTAATAAGTATTACGATTTTAACAAAACAGCTACAATTCTAAGAAAAATAGTATTTAATGTGACCTTTCTTTGCAGTGTCTATCACTATGGTTGAACCCATTACAAGATCAGTTACGACCAGTAATGCGTGATTTGAAACAAGGAATAACTTCGATTTATGTAAGTAAACGTTTATCCAACAAACACATGCATCATTCTATAACTCTAAACAATCTAACTACTATTATGTTCTTAATGTGGGTACATCAAACTTAACATATTCGTAAAATATTTCAGACGACAAGGTTGCAGCAATTGATAGCCACATTTATACACATTGTATGTGTCATAGACGCAAGGGATCCATGTCCAGAAATACATTTAGAAGTTACACAAACTCCCGAGACTTGGAAGAATCAGTTTACTCCCAAAAGAGGTTTAAGTTGTGGACTGGCTCATTGGGCAGTGGTGGATGAAGGAAACGCGAAGATAATGATGACAAATACACCGATAAACACGGAATTGATCGGGAGAGTCATTGATGTGGCGTGCGGCAGACATCATACGTTGGTGTTGACGGAAAATGGGGTATGTACTTATTATTATTACTTCCTCACTGAAGCTCGCCTTTGTTCTTTTCTTTAGAGTACGTAGTATACTTACTTAAAGACGAAAGAAGCTGTGCATATTTATGTATAATCTTCTACATTATGTTCGAAAATATCCCAATAATAATAATTATTATTTATCACAAAACATAATTTGGCTTTTCGATTATGCAATCATGTTTTGTAGAAGGATCTAAGGCATGTAAGTAAATAAAGTCACTTTGGATATACCTAAGAAGCTTTAGATAATCAAAACTGTATGGTTTTTTGCTGAAACGCATAAAATAGGTACTTTCTTATTTCATCTTCCAAATATATTCTAGCCGTATTGAACTAAATCATTGACAATATCACCCGGGTTCAGATATACGCGGCTGGCGACAATTCGTTCGGTCAGCTAGGCGTGGGCGCGGCGTGGAGTGGCGGTGTGGGCGAGGCGGCCGTGTCCAGCGGCGCACTGCGGCCCACCGCGGGGAACTTCACCGCGCCACTCCTTGCACTGGCTGCGGGACACTATCATTCAGCGGCACTTGATGTCGGTGGACGACTATATACTTGGGGGTAAGTAGCTCATCACTTTATTACAAACTAGCAAGTAGTGTAGGATATAAGAATAATTACCAACTTCAAATGAACCTTTTTCTGAACAATGAACATAATGAGAAAATGATTGTTTCATAGACTGTGTTTACTTCGTTTACCCACTTCAACCCCCTTTTTAAGTCGGCTAATTAATATACCGTATTAAAATCGGTTCAGGTAATAGAGAGATACTCGCAGCACAAACATACACACATTCATACAGTTTCATCTGAAGACCTTCTTTTTTAAGTCTGTTAATAATTGAGTATCCTTTTTGGTCCAGTCGCTTCGCAAAGTGTGTTGGTAAAGTAGGCTTATTGAAACAGTAAAAGAATTAACTGTTTCTTAGGTTCTTAAAAATCGATTTTTTTCTTCTATCGGGCTTCTAAAGGGGTCACTGATTGATAGTTTGAGATTTATCTATCTTTGCTCATTGTTTCTATTTATCGTAGATGGGGTGTCCACGGCCAGCTGTGTCATGGCACCATTGATGACGAGTGGACACCAAAGTTAGTCACAAAGTTCCAAGGTAGAAAGGTGAGTGCTTCATATGAAAGTTCATTTATCTTATGTTGTAAACAGTAATTTCAAGATGGGACTCGTTGTTATTGATTATTTGCTCTGTAGTTTAGATGAAGGGTTATGCTAATAATCGAATAATAATTTCAGGTACTAAGTGTGGGATGCGGTGCCTGTCATACAGTGGTATTAATGAAGAACGGCGAGGTATGGGCGAGCGGTGCCGGAGTGTTCGGTCAGCTCGCCACTGGAGGCCGACACAAGTCCTCCGTACCTGTACGCGTGCGATTACAAGATCCTGCTAAATCCATCGCTGTTGGATACTTCCATAACGTAAGATACAATCTAAAATATTTCTTCTTCAAATATTATATTAACGTGCTATCTGCAATGTTATCTAAATATTAACCTAATTCAACATCGTGTATAATGAGGATAAACATCATTGTGTTTTGGCCTTGAAAACTTTTTAGATATGTAGCTCAAATATTTGCTATTTGATTTAAATGAAAATGATAACAAATGTAGCGGAATTTTAAGGCCTGCGTCTCTTAATTACCTATTTATCAAGCTATTGATCGGTAAACATTTAGTAACTACCAAATGTTAAGTGTTGAAGTTATATATGTAAGGGCGCTTTTGTTAGACTAAGATCAAAAGCTATTGTACCGCCATCTGCTAAGAGCGAAAAGGACAAATACTATCATTATAATGTATTAAAATTATGCACAGTTGGCGTTAACAAGTAAAGGTGAGGTGTGGATATGGGGAGCGAGTCCCCAACAAGTCCGAGCTGCGGCGGCGCGGCGTCAAGCGGAGCCTTCACCCGACTTACCAGCACCGACCTCGCCTACCGCGCCTACAGCACAACCCGACCCACATCTACTGCCATACCGGCTTGATACTACTCATATACGCGGGGAAATTGTACAGGTATACTATAACTATACACCAAATAATACCAAACTATCGAGTATAAGGCTTATTTCATGAGTCATTGATTATACGGATTTTATATATTGAGTTGCCTCGTCGAATGGTTACGTAAGTATTTAATGTCTCATGAGAGCTGTAATAAAAAATATTTTTATTAGCTATACAGAGTTTTAGAAGGAAACAGCACACCGCTTTTTTATCAAACGTTTTAAATAATAAATAAATCAGTAATCACGTTTATATCTCTCTCACGTTTTTTCTAATCATTAATTTCAGATGGCGGCCGGTTGGCATCACTCATGCTTACTAAATAATGTTGGTACGTTGTACACTTGGGGTCTCAACTTCGATGGACAGTTAGGTCAGTATTCTATAAAAATTCACATCATCATTATCTAACAAATTTTTAACGATATTGTTATCATTTATTATGAAAACTTTTGTAATTTTTTAGGAAGTGGAGACCGAAAGCAAATCACGATTCCTACTGAAGTAAAAATGGTCACTGACTCTCAAACAGATATTGTTAAAAATAACACCGCTAAAACACCAGACAATGAAATAAAAGATTTTAAAACGAGTGCCCTGGTAGCTTGTGGAGGGGACTTCACCGTTTATATTGACAACGATGGCAAAATATTTGCATCTGGTAACACTCACCTGCAGGTACATATTCTACTAAGTCATTGTCATTGTAAATACCAAGTTTTATGTGTTTTACATGTAAGTAAATAATATCTAATATGTTTTAGCCGCACAGCGAAAAGGACAAAGGAGGCAACCGCGTTATAATGATGAAAACAACAAAACGTGTTATTAAAATCCCAGCGAGCCGCAGCAGCAACAAATTCTTGTTCCAACCTATTGACAGAATCGATATCATGTTTCCCTTCGATATCGAAGATTTACAAAGGAACCCAATTGAAGCCAGACTAAACCCACTAGCTTCCATGACAGATTTCAAAAAGAAATCGTGGGCTGACGATATGATCCTCATACTGAAACCTTGGCTGAACAAGGACAATTTCAAAGACAATCTAAATTTAGCGGCCAAATTCGCGTACCATAACAAAATATACTCAGAATGCTTAAGGTTGTTATTAGATCACTTAAAATGTGAAGTACAAGATGATCAAACATATGTTACACATACTACTATAGAAGAAAATGGAGAAGCGAATAAGCCAGCTACTTCTTCTACACAAGAACAACTTAAGTTGGCAATAAAAAGCATTATGGCGAATCGTATCAAAGAAGTGTCAATGTCTATTCTCAATGAAGTGCCGTATCCGCTGATAGATCCTTCTGTTTTCAAAACTCTGCCTTGTTGTTGTGATGAATTAAAATATCGCAAGAAAGGAGCATCTTCGAAAACGACAGTCAACTTACCAGAAATTGACATTTCTGTAAAAGCAGCTGAGATAATAGACAAATGTATGAGTATCTTCCCTGTAGATACAGAGCTGTGGGAATTATGCTTCCGACTTTCTAAAAATTACTTCTTAGAAAATCATTTGTCTATATCAAAACTGGAGGTTGTGTTGCGTAAGTATATGGAATCTAACGCCACAACGATGGCAGCCGCCATCATGTACTCGAACGATTGTAACCAATACAGCAAAATACTATCGCCAACATTTTACTTGAATATGTGCAATCAAGTTTTGAATACTTGGGGTTGATCCTTACACTAATACTCTCATTTATCTATTTAGACAATTTAATCTCGAATATAAATGTACTGTAATTGCGTGCCATTAATCTCGAATCAAACAGTTAATAATATAAATATCTTCAGTCTTACATATATAGGTATGCATAATCTATCTAAATTCTAAATGTGAAAAACTACAATAATCAAAAAGTACTTTAAATGAAATGGTTTTCATGGAAACATTTCATCAGTATCGATATATTATGGCCATTAAAATTAATAAAGTACAGGCCTACAACTACCCTCTCTCTTATAATAAATACTCGAATATTTTTATTGATGTTTATCAAATCATTGTAGTAAAACATCTTAGACTGAATACCTTCAGTTATTTTTATAATATATTATGTAGATGTGCTACCACTAGAAAAGGCTGCTATTTTTATTACACCTATGTATTAGGATAGAAATTATTCAATCGTCATAATTATTGCAATGTTTACTTTGTGAATAGTGGTTGTTTTCTTGTTATTAATATCTATTTGTATGTTTGTTAACACTTACTAACGGTAATTTTTACTTTTTTAATACTCACATCGTGTTTTAATAATGTCGAATTTTATCTATTATTATCCTTTAACAATATTTTATAGTGCCATCTTTGAAGTATTGCGCAGTTGTTTTGTTTAAAATGTGATTTTATTTTCTCTAGTGTTCGAATTTATTATACTACACGTAGTTTAGTGCCGTCCCTTTTACTCTATATCGTGCAAGAAATAGGAGTGAAAACTGTTTATTGGCAATCATGAATTCTCACTTTTTACTTTTGTGGGAAATATTGTGATAAATAGGCTGTTGCCTCTGGAATCCGGGTCGAATATCAACCTTCTTGTAAACTCACACTTTGTCCTCACTTCTACCTCGCCAGGCTATCTTGTCGCGGTACAGCAGTACTACATAATAGCAAGTAAACGTAAATTCTGTACTGCGAGTCTCACTATCAAAGTATCCACTAATATGTTGTTTTTTTAATCGAACAATTATTTAGGAACAATTTATATTGTATTAGGTAATAATTATCTGTAATATTTTTGTTATTGATAGAGATTTTATACATTATTTCCTTTTTAATTTGTTGTCATAATTAAATCTAGTCATTAGTTTAATTTCAAATGTTATAAATCATTACTAGGGCAATTAACTTTTGTTTATTGTTTGGTTAGAATAATAATGCTGGTAAATGTATATCGAATTTCTTACTTATAATCTGCACTCTTATATTTTGATGTGTAACAACATCAAGTGAATCAGTTTCTGTAGACCGTATTTAATGTTTTTATTTGATTGACAATGTTTAAATGACTTAAGTTAATAAACTCGAACTATAATTTTATTCTTATTTTATTACTTTCCCTTGCCGTTTTCAAAGACCAGAATTAAGAACTGGATGGTAAGGAAATATAACAAGAAACAATACTGATCAGGTTTCGATGGAGTCAAAGCTCTTCATAATCCACAAACGGAAGATTCTTCTGCCTCATTCAGAGAATACGGGGCCGAATTCGGATCACTACGATCCGTCAGTCCTTGTAATAATTCTAAGAATTATTATGTTTGCGCACGAGTCGCATATTTATAGAATTTAGACTCTCAGGCGTGGTTACGGTATATTGAAGTATCGGCAGTTATTCATACAAGGTTAACCGACGAGATTAAAATAACAACGATTGTGTCGTTCATAGAAGAATGTATTTTTGTAAAACTATATTTACAAAATAAATATACAAGGTGTAAATTATTTACTTTCAAATGCAGGATGCAAGTCAAAGCAATCTTCACTAAACAAAAATAAATAAATCGGAATGAATTACTAAAAAAAAAAAATATTAAAAATCAGAAATAAACTGTAAAGGCTTGTACACCAATTGTATAAGAAAAATAAAGTATTATTTCGTTAGGCGTGGTTCTTTAAATAATTGCACTGAGATAAGCGAATTAGAAGACGAATGGGAAAGAGACAATATCATACTTATATCAGTACCCAAATTACATTCAAATCAGATTCACACACGATTGCTTAGAGCGAATCTATTATAAAACTAACTTAAAAGCCCGGATGTTCTGACTCAGAACTTCTGAGTGGGTTGTTTGATAAATATTTAGACCTATAACTAGAAGTTAATGGGTTTTCCACAGTATGCTGCTATGTTTGCTTCACGAAGAGCTTCCGCACATGTCTGAAAAAAGGTATATAAATTTATAAGATATTCATATTCACAAACTCATCAAGAGGAAGGAATAGCGGTGCGGTGTCTTGTATATTTTATACGAGAATGAGTAAATAAACTTACGGGATGCGCATGGCACACTCTGGCGACATCTTCAGCCGCCGCACCATATTCTTGCGCTAACACGGCCTCGTTGATCAGCTCGCCACCACCCTGTTCAAAAAATTGATTAAAGTCAGGTGTAAAATATTTGTTACAGAAATATCGATTATGTACCTAATATGCAATGTACTCACGGGTCCAATAATGTGGGTACCGAGGATTACGTCTGTCGCTTTGTCTGACAAAACTTTAACGAAACCGTCGGGTTCACCATTAGTTTTCGCTCTTGAATTGGCTAGGAATGGGAACTTGCCTACTTTGTATGCCTTACCCTGTAAATACAATAAAATGTAATAATAAGTATATTTTAATTTGAAATAAGCTAATAAGTAGATATTTCAATAAGTTAGAAGTAGGTTCACAGGCTTACCTCTTTCTTGAGATCTTCCTCCGATTTGCCGACCCATCCGACTTCAGGTGTCGTGTAAATTACAGATGGGATCGCGTCGTAGTTGAAATGAACCGGCATGCCCTAAAATACGAAGCGTTAAATATTGAATTAATTATTAATTATAATAAAATCTTAATAAATATGTTTTAAATAGTCTGACCTAAAGACTCTGTATACTCTATATACTCTATTCATAGATATAGGTTTTCTATTTTAAATATGAAAATAACGTAAAAATTACCTTAATTCCTTCAACGCATACGATTCCTTCATCTTCAGCTTTGTGAGCCAACATAGGTCCGTGAATGCAATCACCAATGGCGTAAATTCTGGAAAAGTATGATATTATAAGACATAAATCGATGTACATACTTTATATAAAAGAAAATTGAAATATTAACAAACCCAGGGACTGTTGTCTGGAACCTGTTGTTAACGGGTACTCGGCCCCTGTCGTCGAGAGCGATACCAACGTTCTTAAGACCAAGGTCAGTGGTGTAAGGACGACGGCCAATGGAAATAAGAACAACGTCGCAGTCCAACTAAAACATAAATATTGTTATAAATTATTATGACGCTGAATTAATTGCATATACCTATAATGTTTTAAATTCTTGACTACTTATTACTTACAGCTTCCTTGGTGCCACCACCTTTGGAAGGCTCTACTTCAACTTTGACTTTGCCACCTTCTTTCTTCACTGAAGTTACTTTCGTGTTCAATTTGAACTTCATTCCTTGTTTCGAAAGTATCTTATGTAAAGTTTTGGCTACTTCACCATCAATACCAACACCTAAAAATAATATTCTTCTTATAGTAGTGTTCAATTAATTCTTTATTCATAAACTTTGTTTTTACTTTATGTGCAACAGTTGAGTAATTATACTAAAACATTTATTTGTTACAAACCTCCAATACTTCCAAGGAATTCAATGGCAGTGACATCAGCACCCAGCCTCTGGTATACAGAGCCAAGTTCCAAACCAATGACTCCTGCACCAATGACCAGCATTTTTTTGGGAACTGACGTAAGTGAAAGAGCGCCAGTAGACGTAATGATTTGTTGTTCATCAAACTGTTTAGACACAATATACAATATATAAATAATTAACCATTTTTTATTTTTAAAACAATTTTAAGGTTCCTTTACTAACCGTAACACCTGGGAAAGGCGTCACTTCAGAGCCAGTGGCGATCAGAATGTTTTTTGTGTTAATTGTTTCAACGCCTTTTTCTCCTTTCACTTCCACCTTCTTGGGGTTAATGATTGTTCCTACACCACGAACTAATGTCACCTAAAACACATACATACATATAACCATAAAGTCAAACACAAAGTGTAAATAAACAGAATTAATATTATTATTCTCGTTATCTTTTACAACTGCCCAAATTAAACTAGTTTTCCATACATGCCATTCAGTTGATTAAATGCTGAGCAACAAATGACAAACCATTTTGTTCCAATTGTGTACCACTACAATGATTCAGTGTAACTTATTGAAACCAACCAAATTAATTCAATTCCAAAGCAAAGAAAGAAAACATTAATCCTATTGAACTGGACAAATAATAAATGGCCAGATTAATTACAATTGTATTTCCCATATAATGTTATTTAAAAATTGTCATTGAGTATGTTAATATTACCTTATTCTTTTTGAATAGCATGCCAATTCCACCAGTAAGAGCCTTAACAGCATTGACTTTGTATTCCATCATTTTACTAAAGTTGAAGTTGACTGGGCCTGTTTCAATACCTCGGTGTGCAAAGTCATGTTTCGCTTGGTGATATAAATGTGTGTTGTGGAGTAGGGCTTTAGAAGGAATGCATCCTACATTGAGGCAAGTTCCACCTAGGGTTGAGTCCTTTTCCACTGACACTGTCTACAAATAAAAAGCATATTTTAGAAAAAACATTCATTAGGTAGTAGGTATTTAACTAATTTTCTCAAGGCCCATTCAATAAAGTAGACATTACATAGATTTGCCTAAGTGTGTGGCATAAATGTAAATAAAAAATCTGACCAATACATTGTTTCACCTTCACACAATCTACCTACTTAAAATTCTGCATTTTTTATATTTTGTGGTTTAAGTTGAACACACATACAACACATTAATGTAAATTCTATGATAATGTCCATTTACTTTCATTGGAACCCCCAACATGAGAAACCCATTGATTGTCCATATTTATTTTTATTGGCATAATAGAAATCAATCAATAAAATATATTGCTTTATTAAGACTAACTACTGCCCAATGAGTTCCAATCATTGAAGATAAGATTTATTAACAATAGGGCACTCTATAATATGAAGTGATAGTGAAAAATTAATTGTTTCTTACTTAGTATTTAATTTTCTCACCTTCATACCCAGTTGTGCCGCCTTGATAGCCGCGACGTAGCCGCCAGGGCCCGAACCTATCACAACTATGTCAGCCTCATGAGTAGTAGCATAGTTTCTTGTAGCATTCCTGATAGGCCCGCCTTTCTGCAAAATAAAAAAGTCAATTGTATATTAAACCGACTATTTTAAAACATAATTAAGATTGTTTATTTGTCCATTGGTGCACAAATAAAAAATTAAACAAAAACATATGACAACGCTTATTACTGAGATAAGTATAGACATACTTGACACAAGTACTTATTATTAAGTAAGTTCCCTATTTAATATTGTGTTGTTCAAAGGTTATGGACCACAAAACCTCAAGAATATAGCTATTGGTAGAACTTATAATAATTTCCAAGTAAGGTGTATATCACATACTACCTTATCACAAATATGACTGTATCCTGTGTTTAATCTGTCTGTGACAAGATGATTAGACATATTAATTTCTAATTTTATTTATATTATTCTAACTAATAAACTAACAAATTTAATTTTGTCTGCAGCAGAGTCTAGTTAGATTCAACCAGATGTTTATTTACTTTCTAATAAGAAAAGAGATACATTGTGATTTTTTATCTAAAGCTTAAAGGAGAAATGTCTGTATAGAATCTAGATCTCAATAATTAGGTACTATCACACACCTACACAAGTACGCATTACAGTAGATCAACCAAAATGAGTATATTGATAACATAATTTAGAGCAGCAATAAATTATTGGTTAGCTGATCTAGTTAGATAACATAACAAATCAAAGTCATGCATCGCGATTTCTTGTTTTTCTAATTTGATAAGAAATTATTGATGACAGTCGGTCACATGTTTGAAGGTCAGTTCAGGTTATAAAGAGCCTTAAAAGTCTGTGGATGCTCACAAGTTCAGTTATCTACGTTTGTTTTATATAAAATTGAATGACTATGTTTGTACCGGCATTAAAATAGTATAAAATTTCTAGTAAGAATTGTTCATAGGGGAGTCATTGCATAACATTTGACAGCTTTTTGGATACCTATTTCATTCTAAAACTTAATTAAAAAAGTAAAAACATTACAAGCTTACCCTGTACGCAGATGAAGCAATTTTAAGAAACGTGTAACCCATTATTTGGACCGGAATATGCCCTGATTTAATTACGAGATTGCTTGTTTTATGAAAAATCGGAACCCTGGCGACAGACGACTGATCGAACGAAAACGTCATAAAATTGAAGTTGCAGTTACACGTCTTTACTAATTTCTATTTTTAAGCGGCAAACGTCTTCCTTACTCACATTACTTACAGGACATTGTGAGATGAAACAGCATTACTAGTGACGTTTTAAGCATTCTGAAGTAGGTGAATTGAGTACTGGAACGCAGCTACTAATGTTGCCATTTTAGTAACAGAATAGAACCTGGCTGAAGTAATTTCAAGAAATATAAAGCAATAGTTTTACACTCGAATTCCTTGAATGATTAAAATGTTCCTAGTGGCCAAGTGTAAATCAAAGCAGAACTGCAGAACCAATAAACACCAAAAAAGAAGTAATAAATTCTCAATTTTTCTATTGTAGCAATACATAAATGCGCGCGCTGCTAGAATGCGAAGTTTGTTTATCAATCAAATCAAGCGAAGGACGGTGTCTGGTGGTGTCTCGAAACGTGCGAGCGTATCTTACGTAAATCGATTTTATTATACATTTATAACCATATTTATTTACACGTAAACATAGCGGAACAATACAAATCTAAAATAATTCAGTGTAGTGCGGCTGTTTATATTAAAAGGTAAGATTTTATTTACTATTTTCATTTTCACAGTGAACTAACGTTTTTAGCTAAGAAAATCTCTTATCTTTATCACTTGATATTATGTTTAATAACTGGTTTTACTTAAGAGTTAGTATTTTATTTCTGCACCAACTTTTATAAATTATGAAAATGTAACTTGGCCACCTGTTATTCTAACTAAAACATTAATTTACAGTAGGACAGTACCTAGTCAATAGGCAGATTACCTAGCCAAGATTTATCAACGTACAATTTTGTAACTTTTCACTTTGGTTCTAAATCTTACGGTGGAATCCTCATAGAAATAGATTTTTTTTTTGTAAGAATTTATTAATTCTTTACAAACTTGGAAATGCGCACATTTTGTAAACAAAAGCTTAATCCTACCTAACAATGGAGATATTTATGTAGGTACGTAGCCGAACTTTTAGTTAAGGTTTTCATTTCCATAGAAGAAACAACATAATGTAGGTAACTACTAACAATTTTATTTCAAAACGAATTAATGACTTAGGTACGCTTCATGTAATAATATCACCCTTAAGTCAAACCCGATACCTAGTTCAAACGCGGTATTTAACACCTAACTTGCGAGACGGTTGTCATTCGGTACTTTATTTTACGTCGAGTGACGGTATCACCACGGTAATATTATCATAGAGTAGTGTCACGGTAATATTATCATTATTACCGTGGTATTACGCTACGCTAGTGCTAACTCTATACTTAGATAAATCTACTTTTTGAAAACAAAGAATAAATGTTTTTGAAATAAATTATTAGGTATCATAATACAATAATTAAGTACCTACTGAGAACGATATAGTAACACCAGCCGTCCACAGTAGGATTTTCTCTTGTGTCGCGGAACAACAATCTTTGGATCACATAACATATGTTCTGTACGGAAATCGAACCCGCGGAACATTGCGCAGTAGTCAGTTGCCCAGTCATTGCGCCAATCGTCATTTTTGCATTAAAGCTAAGTAGCTTGATCAAGTGATCAATCTACTGTTACTCTTGGGACCTGATTACTAGGTACTATAGTAGGTACCTAAGTATGTGTACGAAACTGAACACCATTCTCACATTTCTTACCCACGTTACTCATTGAGCAAAAAGACTCGGGTTTCTTAACTAGGTACCTATAACGAATACCTAGTATTAAAACCTGCGCCATAAGCAGACCATTGAAATATAACTATCCAACAAGATAGGTAGGTACGGCCTTTTTTAAGACGAGAAAGAGTTAGACTCTTAGGTACTGACTAAAAATCATTCTATTCCTATCCCTGCTTTGAGTCGCTTATTGAGACTATGCCAGAAATAATAAAAAAAAACTTAAAAACGTTACTTAGCAATGCTCAATTCGAAATAGGTATGTAGGTAGTTCTGAGATGATATTCGATTCATATTTTAAATTGCTATCAACATGTTTTACATGAAAAAAGAAATGGTACTTACTTACGTAAGAAGATCTACTTACCTTATTTAGGTAGGTACACAAGTACTTAAACTGAGTATGTAGGTGTTAATACTAAAGTGTCAAGTCAAAGGTCAAGTACAGATTATTTATTTAAGCCAGGTAGATTATTTATGCAGTAAGACTAAACTACTAACTAAATTAGGTATGTTATATTAAGACACATACAAATTGTTTGAACACTTATGAATGGGAATAGTTAATACTTATGAATCAGCCAGATTAGCAATTGGTTGTAGTAGTAATAATTTTGAATCAAAACAATTCACTTATGAGTAATTTATGTTCAATGATCTATTTATACCTCTGTTACGTGTGAAACATCTACTAAATCCATTGTTTAACTACTACTACCTAGTACTTAATCTTGTTTAAATGTAAACGATGCGCGGCCCTGTTCAAAATCAAACCAATAGTCATAAGCCGGTTAAGTTATAAGACATTGTGGTTTGTACGAGTAGTTCAGTTCGGTTTACCTGCGTAGTAGTAGGGCAGGTAAGTTAATCCTGTTAGGTGGCCGTGACACGTTGCCCGGCTTCTGTATTGAGGCATTTAGTCGTCGCTGCTCGGCCCGCATCCGTCCTCGCAATGTGCGACGCCAGACCACGTAAAACTGCACCTGCCATACAAGAGAAACTCGCCATTTATGAAAACGGTATACATATCATATCCATATCTCATCGTAGGCTCCCGATTAGGCTTGGCTTACACTTTACGATTGAAAGTATCATAACCCTGTCCTGTTACAGCTACTGCATTGCATTTACATTTGGACAAGGTAGTGTTTCACCACGGCTAGTTGTTATTTGGCACACGTACTAATATGCGCAGGCTAAACAAAAGCACAACATATCCAGCGCTTTCACGCCGTCTGGTTATGATATCTGACTACGATGACATACTGCACTGCTCTGTAACCTAATACCATTTGTTCTATTTATATTTTTATGGCGTTCGCCCGTTAATTATTTATCCTCAACTCAATTGTTATTAGCTGCGTAGTTGGCGTTTTATGTGTAAGCCGATTTTATCAATGAACCCACTTTTTTACGTTTGGTCTTATTTCGTATCATTTTTGAGATAAAGTCTTAAATGCAAGAGAGTTACATTATACAATGTGTTACTGATTAATACGGGAAATAATACAGTGTTCTTTTGTGGTTCTTATCGTAACCGAAACGGTGCAGCCATTGTCTTCACTGCGTCACGAATTTATGATCCTTAGCTTTATATGCGCTCTTGTCAGTCATGCAGAGCACAATAACACCTTGTTAACAGATCCTCATATGAATACGAACTCGAGATTAGCTCCGCTGTGATAAGTTACTTCAGAGGTGACCGACTGTTTTATCTTGCAACCGTTTATCATTCAAAGAACGCACGTGTCCGAAACGCACACGTAACTATTATGATGTTCCATACTAACATTTCCATAGAGATTTCCATAAAAACAAGTTGAGCATATTTGTGTGTTGACAGCCGCATCACCGTATTTGTGAAAATGGAAGGGACTTGAATATATGATTAGACGGGGTAATTAAATGCGCTGTCTATGTGGATTTGACTAACAATATCGAGAAAGTAGAACTCATCACTAACCTAATTAAATAAGTATCATATCGTAACACTTAGATAACACTTGCATAATATTCGACAAAAGATAATAAAATCATCCATTATGTGTACGTGGTTTTTATTAGTGATATGGAATGCGGACAGTATAGAGACAGTTAGATTTTTGTGCATTGCATGTTCAAGTAGGGAGTGTATTGTGTGGTGTGGGCGGTTGCATTAAAATTATGTATGCAGCGAGCGTGGTACATTTGGCACGGGAGTCAGGATAAAGGGGACTGGGAATTCTGGATAAGGAAGCAACGCCCTGGGTGGCGGCTTCGGGCTATTCCAATACATTTAAACGAAGTAGACAATAAATTGCCTCTATTAAATTAGATTAATAACGAGTGATCCTATATTTTATAATTCGTTGAACAATGTTATTAATAAACATGACACTGAAAACAACAGAACTTTACTTCCAATCTAAGGCTATTATTATTAAATGCATTTGCATTGATGTTCCATTAAGTAATATTATCATTGTCAGTTTAATATTCATTTATTGTAGCTTGGGGTTAAACGGATCGATGTCAGTGTCAAGTCCTTGCATCCGAACGATACTGACGACGCGGACATGTATTACGCATAATTTTTCAAAAGAACCACCTTGTGTTTGGCCTTATTTAAAAAAAGTCTAATAATACAATTAAGTATAAGATGCTGATGTTGAGTCACTATTACTAAGAATCGACGAAAGATCTTTACAAACTCCCTCATGATATCCTCCTCCAAAAGGAGACTTTTCCATCGATGAAGTTTATTTACAGTTTTAAAGTCATGAGATCGATCAATTGGTAAAAAGTCTTATACCTCATGGAAGAGGAATTTGTGTTTAATTATACGAAGAAATTGATATCTATACATATTCACGCATGCCATATGTAAAGCAAACCATAATAAACAAGCGCAGAAACAATAAACAAAGTTTATGTGTAAATAAAAATTGAGTCGCGTGGTTCAGTACCTAGGTACAATGTTTCATTGAAATGAATGGTCACACTGTACAAGGAAACAGCATAAATATTGCATATGTGATATGCTAACAAATTCATTATTATCTGCTTCCTTATTTTCTCCGAGCGGGAATTCCAATAGGAGCGCACTACAGGACTACAGTTTTTAATGATAAATAACGCCAGCAATGGTATACGTATTTTAGTTAATCAAACATTGATTGAAAGGGAATGTAGAATTAATTCAAATTCTGCATGAGGCGCTGTATGTAAAAAAAAAACGATTTTTCTCGCAGCAGAACCGTGTCGGTGTCGCAGAACAATATATTTGCGGCGGGACATGATCTTGAAACATCTAATAAAGCACCCCTTAACTTT